AACTTGTCAGGCTAGTTTAGATGCTGATTCATTTTTTTTTTAATACAGCGAGAATTTGAATTCTTCAGCATCAAGGCAAATTGATCATTTGTTAATAAATAAAATACATTTTAAATTCACATACTTTAAACAATAATTTTGATGTTACATTTAGCGCAGGTACCGGTAATTTATTTATTTTTCTATAATTTCTTCATTAATTTTAGACCAAATTGGCATAACTTCTGATTTTCTACTCAAAAAATGTTATTAATTTGCAACAGATGACTTTACTTTGGTCTTCAAACACTGAGTTAATTAGCACAAATATAATTAACAATATAAATTTGTTAATACAGTAGTATGTCTATCCATAGTTGGATGATGACATTGTCACATCAAATTATAAGTGCACAGAGTTGACGTCTATTCAAATGCACTATGATATTGGGTGACATTTTTTTGTTTTAACAACACATGACAGGCAATGTGAATTCTTCAATCACATCATACAGCACTGTGAAATCTGTGTTAGATGACTTCTATTAAAATGGTATATTCCAATAGAGCGATGTAGCTTCTATTAGAATATAAGAGAAATAGCAAATTTGTAGTTCTCAATTGTTCAGAAAGGAGGTGTGCGACTTCTATTAGGGATGCGGCTTCTAATTTTACAGTAAAAGTTTAATAAATCAAATCCTAAGTAAAGCTGGCAAAACTGAACACTGCTTCAGGTCGCTCCTTCAGTGATATCAACCATGTTCAGTACATGTACAGAAAACTGAACAATTCTGTAAATTGTTCAGTCCGTTTAGTTGTTAGAATAAGGAGTACCGGTATGTCAAAACAAAATACCACTGTAAAATCTGTTCAGTGTTTTTATTGTTTGGTTTAGATACTATATTAAAATATTACAAGAATTCTCTCACCAGAGCAATACTTCTCCAACACATTACCTGCTGAAAGTCACCATGGACAGAGTCAAAATGACTGGTATACAATGGTATCAGCAGGACATGTGCTAATAAGTAAAATATTAGAGTGACACCACGTACCTCTGTACTAAATGGTTCCACCTGGTCTACATGTTCATTGGTTAATAACTGCTCTACAAACATGACAACTCGGTAGACGTAGAATTCACAGTCATTCATCATTCCCAGGAGTCGAGGATAACTACCTTCAGCATCTGTCAACAGGATTAAACATAAAATTCAAGATGGTAATACCACAATACTGTGTAAAAATATCATGTATCTCCCAAATGAGAGGATGGATTTGACACGGTATGCACCAAGACAGTACAATAATTGCAGCAATCCACAGTACGGTAAATACGATTACCAGTATTCATTAAGCTATGATCAAAGACTAAGTTTTAAATTAGGTAGTGGCATTTTGAAGGGGTGGGCGCTTTGCCGAATGTCACCCTGAATATAAAAATTGCGCCAAAGTGGGAAGGGGGCACTTGACCCCCGGGTATGGGCGCTAACACAGTCGAGTATGGTACCATCACTATATTACATGTACATTCATGAATATTTCGTGGTATTCTTGTAATAACCTCATACTGTAAATGCATTAATTATTCACAGGTTTTTTTTAATTTCGCTATTTTTGCTGATGAGGTAAAATCCAGTAAATTTAATTTACATGAACATGTAAAATAACAATAAAACTCATTGTCAAAACATCGAAAAAGTGAAATTAAATGTCAGTGAGAACAAATGGTTTTACATTATTAAATATTTATGGAGTGGATATGGCTTTTGTGGTTCAAAGTCATATAACTGAAAAACACAAGATTGCAAAAGTGCATCGGCTGTATGACCAAGGACAAGAAAATCTGTATCCATGTCGACTTTATGAAGGTTTTATCATCTAAATAAACTGTTTGAGTTTCGAAATAATTTAATAGCATTAGTTTCACACATGATTAATTATTTACAAACACATTTGATTCAAAGTTATTTTCATGCAAAAAACTTCCCTGTGATTCACAACAATCACACAAAAGTCACAGCAAAGTAATGAAGTCCACATATAATACATTTTGTGTACAACATTCTATAGTAATGTCAGTTCTATTGATTTGACCAACTGGTATTTCATATATTTTAGTTGTAAGTCTTATTTTTGTTGGTTAAACTAACAATCACAGTGCAGTGTTAAATTTGATTGCTCACACAACTACCGGCAAAAAATTATAAAATGAGTGTGGTATTATCAGACGGCTCTCCAATATACGGCACCATGCAGGAAGAGATACAAGATAATAAATGTAAACATACCTGAAGATGATATATTGGATAAACAGTTTAACGCACTGAAGAAATATTGACAACAAAGTTTCTTGATTGGTTCTGATACAGCGTCTTCAAGAACGGCATTGCACTGTGAAGTAAATAGCGTTTTCATTACACAAAATTAGTTAGATTTTCCTAATATCATTTCTATTTTAGAATGAAATCTGAATTAATCTGTTGTTAGAGGGATAAAATATAGGTGCAAATATGATTTCTTCTCAGAGGACTTACCTCAGGTATTGTTTTGTCAGCTTTAGTAACCGTAAAGAACGCATGAGTAAGGAGAAACTTTGTACAATCTAACAACCATGTGGCATCTCTTGGCAGATTGTAATTACGTACTAAAGATAACAACTGAATGAAAAAAATGAGAAAATATTGAACTGTATTCAAGAGTTGATAAAGATAAGGGCAGGAAAGTGTCATTATAATGATTGGTAGAAAACCATTGACAATGTCATGGAAATTCCACAACATAACTTGTGTGTCTCACAAAAATGTTTTCTCTATAATATTTGGGAAAATAAAAATATGGTGACTAGAAACAACATAATTTTTGGATACAATATTTGTGTCACATGGTACAAAACTTACTTGGTTACAAACCCACTTCCTGTCAGCTTCAATTCCAGATAATCTTCCTTTACTATATAACAGTAATAAGAAAATAATTATTACCATAGTTATGATTACACAAATATATTAATATCTGACATGAGATATGAAAACAGGAATGTATGCCTAGTATGTATGTAGAGTTCCACCTAATAAAACTCACTCCACTAATGTCTAGATAG